GTTTCTTACAGCAGTCTTGTGTCCAATGGTCTTTTCTGACAGCAATCAAGGTGTTTGTGAACACTAAGGGGAATCTCTTAATTTACTGTTCAGATACTTTCATTGGACTTACACATACACAGAGATTAAATGCTGACAGAATTTGTGAATTAAAATGTAAAGGTGGTTTTCTTTGAAATTTTCTAGTTACAGTTCTGTATGAGAACCTCTAAAAAGGTAAACTAGAAAAAAATATTTTCTTGATTTTCAGAGCATATTTTTAATTGGTTATTCCACCTTAAAGTTCACTCATCCTTTCGTGACATATGGGAACCTTATCTCTGCAGCTTCTGATTTTTGGGAGAGTGAGGAGCCTGATCAGATAAGAGCGAGAGAGAGAACTCTTACTGTGATTCAGTGCATTTTGTCAGCAGTTGCCTGTCTAATCCAGTGTGCTTATGTTTCTTAGGGGAAAAGCAGAAGTGTTCTATAATAAAGAATAAAACATAAAAAGGAAAAAAATCAGTGAGAGGAGAACGCACCCTCTCTTTTTAGCATATTTTTGGTAATATTTTTCAAAGGCTTAATAGACCATCTATTAAGAAGTTAAAGACTGCTGATTTTGTCCTTGTGTGTGGCAGAGTGAGAGAATGGTTAGCACAAATGGTTTCCAATTTTTATCACTTTTGGTGCTGAGGAGTCCAGATTGCTGCAAGCACGGCTATTGTCAGAAAAACAGCTGTGGGAAAACAGCATCTTTGAACATGATATTTGAAATTTAGAGATTTATTTCTTTGAAGACATGCATTTGGATTTAGATTGCTGGTGTGTGGCTTCAGGCTGGGATGAGTTAGCCCTGATAATACAGCAAACTGCCCGAAGGAGACAGGAGCTGACAGCACTCTTCAGATAGTAAGTGGTGAGGTTCTTAGCTGGAGGCTGCCTTAATTAAGCTAGAGGCTTATTAAAAAAACCCAAAACCAACCTACATAAAATCTTTGTTTTCACTCTTTTCAGCTAAGTGTAGCTGAAATCTCTTTATAAGGCTAAGCTGGATTCACTTCTGGCTGATACATCACAAGCATGTGCTTAGAGAAAGATTCAGAGGACTAACTGTTTTCAGTCTGTGTAGTGTTGTAAGGTTGACTTCCTGCTTGCATCTGGAGTAGACTGGGATGACAGTGAGGAAAAAATTGTGTAGGTTTCTTTTGGTTTGTTTCTTAAGAGAGGACTGCGCGAATCAGATGTGGACTTTTATGCACTTTTACATTATTAAAGGGTTGCAAATGCAGCATGTTAACATTGTAGTAGGGTAAAAAAGCTGTACTTTGACCGTGGGCAGTCTCATTTGTGTTTGCAGCAGGCAGCTCTCTGGAGAAGGATGTGGGGATCCTGGTGGACAAGCTGCCCAAGAGCCAGAAGTGCCCTTGTGACCAAGAAGGACAATGGGATCCTGAGCTGCATTAAGAAGAGCACTGCCAGCAAGTCCAGGAGGTGATCCTGCCCCTCTGCTCAGCCCTGGTGAGGCCAAATCTGGAGTGCTGTGTTCAGTATGGACTCCTCAGTACCAGAGAGACATGGAGCTCCTGGAGCAAGTCTAGCAAAGGGCTGTGAAGATGGAGGGTACTGGGGCATTTCTTTTGTGAGGAAAGACTGAGGGAGCTGGGCCTGTTCAGCCTCAAGAAGAGACAACTGAGAGAGGACCTTATCAGTGTATTTAAGTATCTGAAGGGAGAGTACCAAGGAGGTGGAGCCAGGCTATTCTCTGGGGTGCCAAGGCAATAGGACAAGAGGCAATGGGCAGAAACTGATGCATTGGAAGCTCCACCTGGACATGAGGAAGAACTTCTTTACCGTGCACATTGGAACAGTTGCCTGCAGAGGTTGCAGAGTCTCTCAATTTTGGAGATTCTCAAAAGCTGTCTGTACTCAGTCCTGAGTAACATGCAGTAGGGAACCCTGTGTGAGAAGAAGGTTGGACCAGATGATCTCCAGTGGTCTCTTTCAACACCAGCCCTTCAGTGGTTCTGTGAAGCAGTCCTGCATCACTGGGTGCTAAGCTCCCATATGTTAAAAAGCACAGGTGTAGTGGAATCCATGGGACCCAGCATTGCTGTGCTTTCACTTTGAAGAGCCAAGAACATGCCCGTGTCATATCACTGTCTTATTTTATCAGTAGTTTTTCTTTTGCTTGTAGAATACCAGTGAGAAAGACTTCTGTGCTTTTAAAAAGGGTATATAGGAAAGAGAAAAAACTTGGAGAATGCTCAGATTCCTCACAGTTCCTCAGGGGCCCTGGCTTGGCCTGCTAAGGCTCATCACAGCAGCAGCAGTAGTGCCTGGGCTGTGTGGAGGGGATGCCCACACTTGTCTCTGCTTCACACTGCACCTCAGTCCTGCCTTGTCTCCAGCCTTGTTTTCTGAGATGTCCATCCTGCTGTCACTCTTACAAAGGTGCCTCTGCTCCTGCTGTTTCTGGCTGAAATCTAGTAGCAGATGCTGGGCACTCATGGGAGTCATTTTTGCAAATTTATGTCTTCTAACAACAGATTGGTTTGCTTGTATCGATTACCTTATGTAGATGTTATGTAGATCTATGTGTTAGGCTTGTGTAGATCTTCAAAGTTAGCAGCTCCCTCAATGTCACTGTGAACAGCATGCCAGCTACTACTGCATCTTGTACATGATGTTATAGTCTTGTACTGGAGCAGATGAAAAGCTTCAAGAAGTGCTATGGGGAAAATCTGGAAATACCAAAAAAGATCAAGTGAGCTGACAGTATAACAAGAACAACAGAATTTGTAAATGTGGACGTTCAAAGTGAATAATGCAATGAATGAAGCACGGCTAAGTAATGCTGAAGAGGGTTTTCCAGTTAGAAATTGTCATTTTGTTCTCTTAAGAGCATTTCTGAATTGAAAGTTAGTTGCAATTGTTTTCTTTTAAAGCATGCATATAAAATCTCACATAATATAAGCGGTGAATATGGTCTTTATATACTGCAGGTGAAGCTGAAACTTGTGTGACTTGACATATGCTTTCAACTCTGCTTTGTAATTGCCTTCAGAAAGTTACATAAAATTTCAACCCAGTTCCTGCTCCATTCAATTGATGATAACCTAGAGCCTAATTCTTCAGTGCCTTGAAATCATGACCAAGAAGTATTGTAAAATGCACATTTGTGTAAATATTTTGAAGTGCTATAATTTGAAAATGCTTTACCCTTCATCCTTTGTGCTGTTTAATTGTTTCTGCATCTAATAATTTAGCTTAGAGAATTTATTTCATTTCCTCTTTAGCTCACAACCTGGCACAATGGTGTAGTGTTTGGGCTTCTAGGAAGACATGAGGTTTAGTAGGGGTTAAAATAAATTTATATTATTTAAATTTAAAACAGTATCTAAATTGGTCTGAACATGCATTTAAAGGGTGATCTATATATATTGTTTAACTCAACTTTGAACCGTATTACTGAATTTCCAAATTGATATATGCAAGTACATCTTCATTTGTGCCCACTTGTGTGTGTGAATGCATACTTTATAAAAGAAAAAAATTAATGTCTCTGGATTGATGTAGATTATTTAATCTTTGTTTCCTGTATGTTTTCTTAAAGGGAGGGGATATGACAGCTGCTTCTGGCTCTAGTGATGGATGCCATGTTACTGCAGTAGCCTTTTCTCTGCTGAGGAAGGACAGAGCTGGAATGTGGTCTGAGCCTGTCTGATTCTAGGGCTCTTGACTTGTCCTTGAGAGCTGATAACTGACAGCTAGAATGGCTCAGGGATGTATTATACATATAATTGTGTGCTATGTATGTATATTATATGCTGGGGCATGTTGTTTTGTTGCCTGTGGCAATGTGGAAGGGGGTAAAGGAAGGAGTAGGAAAGAATCTTTTTTCTTAAATAAGGGAGACAGTTTAATGATGAGCTGTGTTTTAGAAACTAATGCATCGGTTGTGCTCTTGTGAACATAGATTTTTTTTTTTTTCATTCTCTGTTTTTAATGAAATATGTTGAGATGGGATATTTCAGTACTTTCAATGTTAAAGAGATTGAACTTGTCAGATAGTTTTAATGCCAATGTCTGTACAAGGCAATGTTACTTCTTAGGTTAGGAAAGGTCACTACACGGCTCCACAGCAGCCTCTAATTTAAATGTTACTTGTCAAATGTGCTGATGGAAGAAAAACTTAAAATATAGCATTTGACTCTGCACTAGGACCCTTTTTTCTTTTTTTTTTTTTTTTTTAATAATGCTTTGGCCTCAAGGGTGGCATGACCTGGAGGAGATGAGGCAGCAGTTCCAGTTCCGTGCTTCTAGAAGATAGGAGTATTATGTGTGATTGTCTGCCTGTATCCTGTTGCCTCTTGCTGGCTGTGTCATGAGAAGAGGTGAGGGAAGCTGTTTACTCTGAGCAAGCAGTTATGCCTCCCTGGTTCTTGGCTGCTGCTTCAGGGCTGTGGAGAGCTGGAAGGGGCTTGGAGTGTCTGCAGGTGAGAACGTGCAGTCAGTGTGCGTGACAGGCTGCTGCACCTGCCTGTCTGTCACAGTGGGGTTTCACTCTGCCTCACAGCAAGGTGCCTTGGCTTTTTCTTTGTAGGTACCTCAAAGCTTCTAGAACAGTACAGGCTGTTTGTGCTCTATAGTGAGGAAGGGAAGCATGTGAAGTATTAATTAGATATTCTTCTATTGAATAAGGGCTTATGATAAAACTTGAGAACTGTGGGAGAAGTGTGTGCATGTGATGAACCAAACCACAGCTGTGTGTGTGTGACTTGGTGGTTCTTGTTCTTGGGGTATTATCCCATAAACCAGTCAGTTCTGACACAGTGTGATAAAATCCTGCATGGGGTGAAGACAGGAGTGTGATTCTCTCTGTACCATCCTTGTATGTGTGCCTGGGAGGCAGTTGCATGTCCTTACCATGCTCCATTACAGCCTGGAGTGATGCTGAGTTTTGCTCCTGTCCTTGCAGGCTGAGCGACGAGAGGCAAACATGGCCCAAGCACCCAGTGATCCGAGTAGTGCGGAAACTGCTGACCCAGAGGAGAGTTCTCCAAACATGATAGTCTACAGAAAGGTAAGGATTTGGACTTGTGGCAAAAATCCCTTCTCTATGTCATTGGCTTATAAAAGAATCCCATGCCCCTTTTGAAGTCAGAGGTATATTTGACTGCTTGGATGCATAGCTGAAAGACTTTCAGGAAAGTAAATGTTTCAAACTATAGCATTTGAGAGCTTGGAAGCTCAATTCTGTTCAGTGGAAGCATTTGAATTTGTTACTGTGAAATACTTGATGACAAGCTAATAACTTGAAATTTGTAACTTTTTGTCATATGACTTTAGGTAATGGTTCAAGTTTACTAGCTAAAAGAAGTGTACATATCTTCCAAGTTTTGTCATACTAAGCATAAAGCAGCCTCCATACAGCAGTCTTTTGGTACTTTTTTCCCCTATATTTGTATTGTGTTTCTTGTTGAATAATTAGCCGTTTGATTCTTTATACGTCATTTTTCTTACTTCCCATGCCTTGCATAAATTAAAAAAGAGAGTGTTTTCTCAAGTGCTAGGGAAAAATGAATTAGACAAAGGTGAAACAACAGCAATGTATGGTGTTTAAGGGCATTTTTTCACCATGATAAAATGTCTTATTCTGAAGTACTTTGGAGGTAGCATAAAAGATGAAGCAAAGCTATCTATTGACCCATTTGCAAAGGCATTGTTTTATTTTGGGGTAGGTGTATCCTTCATCTTTGAAATTTAGTATTTTTTTAGTTTAATGAAATAATGTAAATACATTTTATTTAGCCTGCAAAATATTTCTTATGTAGTGTGCAGAAGTGCTGTATGATTCTGACAGAAATTTCTTGCATAGCTTAAATAAGCAACCATTCTGTTAACTTAGGAGCTACACTGCTCAGATCTGGTTTCCTAGTGTGGTATGATCCTGGGTAAAATTACTGAAATGTGTTGGAGGCACATAGTTATGTTTTCTGCTTGCTTGACTGCAATCTTGATGACTTTCATATGCTGAGAAAATAATTTAGGTTTCATATGGAGCATGAGTTGTTTAAAGTGTTACTTTTTGATATCCATAATTTTGGTTTAGTTGTTGTGTATTTGGTTTGGAATCTGGAATTGTTAACATGGGAAAAATTTCTGGGTAATGTGTAGGCTTGTTTGTTTTGAATGTGTTATGAACACACTTTGGCTGCTAATTTGGAAGTAGCACTAGTTGGTTAGTCAGATTATTTTTTTTCCAACCTGTTTGCTGAGAAGTCCAACACCCCATAGTCTGAACTAGATACAAGGTGTGAAGGAAATGCCTGGTTGCATGATCTAGAATTAGGGCATTAAATCTGTGACTCTGCAGAGAATCCACTTACCTGTTCCTGAAAACATTACTTTATTTGTGTGCCTCACGTTCTGTTCATCTCACGGCATTTCTACTTTAGGATTTCTCCATTTCTTTGCCTTTCGATATTTCCTTATTGTCACGTAGAATAGAGGTTGTGAGTTCTGTGGTATCAATAGGAATATACTCATGCTACTTGATTCATCTCTCCTTACTGGCTGTCCTCTGATGTCAGTATTATCAGCCTTTCATAATACAGTCACCTGTCAAAATACATAGTTGTCTTTTAGAATAGCATGCCCCATGCATTGTGCAGTAATGGTGTATCCTGTATTGTCAATTTTAAGCTAACACGTCTGTCAGGTTTTTTTGCTGAGTATTTCTGTTCCTTTGTGAATAAAAAACGTGGATGTTACCTATTTTTCTGAGTAAATTTTCATTGGTGATTGACTTTCTAAATGTAATTTACATTATTTTAGATATTAGTTTTAATATTAGTAGTTGGTATTATTTGATATTTTGATATTATTTTGATATTAATTAGATGTATTACACATCAATTTTATGTTCCTTAGTGTTGAAAAATCATATGCAAAATCTGAGACAAGACTATTATTCTTTTGATTATCTCTCCTCTCTCCAAATGAATGTTTAGCTCTTCATCTCTCATTTGCTTTCAAATGGCTTGATTGCCAGTTATGAATGAGAAAAACACTGCACTGGACTCCCTGAAATATTGAACACAATCTGCCAGAATACCCTACAGTTCAGGGTTGGAACTGTGTCACAGTAGAAGGAAATGTTTGCTGCTCTCAGCAGGGACCCCAAGGTGCAATTGCTGACCCCCCGTAGGAAGAATAAATAAGGGTGGTCTTTAACAGTGGAACCACAGTGAGTCCTGCTCTGAGTGTGAACTGTTTTGTTGCGTATCATAACTGTCACGTTTGAGGGTTTTGGGGGAGGAAAGCCCTGCAAGTAGAACCTCAGATTGTTAATACTTTCTTTATACTTGGTTTACTGGGAGTCTCTGGGGTCTGTTGGAATTCATGTGCCAACAGCTTCGTTCTAGCCTGGTTTTCATTTAGTAGCTAATGAAAGGTTTTTTTAGAGGAAAAACCAGATCTTAGGTGGTATTGAGTGTCCCTTTGGAGCAAACTCTCTGTTGTGTTTATGGAGAAAAGCCTGGAACAGGTTGTGCTCTTTCTTTAGGTAGGTAAAACTTAGTGGGATGGGTTTTGGCCGTGCAGAACAAAATAAACTAATTTATTTTGACTCCAATTACTTTATGATATTCTCTGTGGACTCCTGCAAGCAAATGAATTCTAACTGCTTTGATTGCTACATCAGATGGTCTCAATGAGATAAGTCTTATTTTCTTCTGCCTTCAGTGTTAACCTTTCAGAGGTTGATATTTATCAATTTGTGAGGTATGTTATTTTTTAATCCAAGATACTCAGTGTTGCTCCACTGTTTTGGATGACACCTGTGTGTGAATTAAGTAGTGCAGATGCATTTGTTACAGTCACCACTGTTTAGGGTATGATTTGCCTCACCCTACCTTTGTTAAGATGAGCTGTAGCCCAAACTACATGAGCTCTATTGACCAGGTCTCCTGTGGCAATCATGGGTACCCAGCTGTCAGGTACTTAGGTCATAGGATAGACATTTATAATTAAGCAAGCTGCATTCCACTCTTGTGGAATTGTGTGTCCTCTTGTCTCTCTGTGCATCTCAGTGCTGCGCCCTGGGCTCTCGCAGGGCTGCGGGTGGTGCTGCAGGAAGGGTGGGCTGTCATTTATCTGTGTGGCACAGGGATACCCAATGGAGGTGCAAGGGTGCTGCAGATACTGCATTGCCATTTCAGTACTCTGTGAGTACATTGAATCTGAACACATCTGGAGAAGATGCTGATGCATTTTTTGATGGGATTACTACTGGAAGAGTGATGCACAGTTCTTACAAAGACTGTTTGAAATGCACTACCCTACTTTTCGTGGGAGCAGGGAAGTGACATCCCCATCCTCACTTCAGTCTGCAAGCATTGTGTGGGTACTGCAGCATGGAAGGAAAAAAATGCAATAAAAGCCAGGAGAGGAGAAGAACCTCTACTAGAAAATAGTAACAAAAAATATAAATTGATTTTAAACGCTGGTCACATTCCCTTGAAATCCAGCCACCTTTGATTAGTCTTTCTTGCAAATGCTGGTGACTCAGGGGCCCTTTGGCTCATTGTTACAATAATCCACATCTGAAAATTCCTCTTCTGCTGACAGTATTGAAAGACAAATTGTTCATGGACAGCTTCTGACACCATACCTATTAAGTGACCTATTATCAAAATAATTTGGCAAATCAAATTTTCTTACATAAATGATGGTGGAAAATTGTCATGTCACTGTAAAAAAAAATCACAATATTTAGAGCTTGACTAAATAAGAACTGAAAATGCCAGTAAGGAGGAGTACCTGGGGAATATAACAAGAAGGACGAAACCACAGAAATTAAAATCTAAATTGGATAGCAAGGTGTTCTTGTTTCTGAGAGAGATCTCCTATGACAGGGAAGAGTTTGCAAACTGTGCTGATAAGAGAGTTTTAGAACCATTGGAGCATGTATGTTCTGAGGGATATCAAAGTGTACTGTCAAAGAAATGATCTGCATTATCTGCTGGTAGATTTCCATTTCTGCTTATTTTTTGCCAAACATATCCTCTATATCTCCTTGCTAATGTCAGCACTTACTGAGTTAAATTTTGAATTTTTATGGTAAATCTTTTGAACAAGCAGGAAAATATAATTTCCAAAGGCAATTACTGCTGTAAGTAATGTAACACAAACTTGCAGCTGCCACAAGATGCTTTCAGAAAAATCTGAGTTGTTTGCTACCTTCAGTACTTGCCAGCCTTCATGTCTTTTTAAATGCTGATTTAAGATCTGAATTGGAATAATTAAAAAAAAAAAAAAAAAACAAACCAAAAAACAACCAACCAAAAAGAAAGCAGCCTTACATTTGCAGATTTTCTCCAGGCAAATTCCAGTGTTCCAGTCACGTCATGTCAAGCAGCAGGAGTGTTGCTGTTAGACCTGGCCGATTGGGCAGGAAATGAGAGAACAAGCAGTTGTGAAGTCAGGTGTATGCATCCAAAAATGTCGGGACCATGACGCAGAAGGATGGGGGGAAGAGACTGTTGTTGAATTAACTCTTCACATTAAAAAATATAGTACTGTTATTTTGAGCTAGTCAGAAAACTGAGACTGCAATTTGATTGCTCTTAAGTTGTGCTGTGAAAAATCATCTCAATAGGGCACTGTCCAAGCATCAAAAGCAGGTGAGCCTCATAAGGGTATAGTCAAAATGATGACTTTTTGTAAAGAAAGAAAAAACTGAAGTGTTTTAAAGTGAGATGGGTTTCATGCATACAGCTTAGTTTTGTATTAAAAAAAAGCAGTCTGCATCTTTTTTTGTGGCTTCCTAGCCCCTTTGAGGTTTCATGCTGTTTTTATGAGAGGCAGCAGAACTTAAAATGTATTTTAAATGTTGAATAGTATTGGCTTTCTTTTTATTTGAGTCTCTTGAGTTATATTTTAGAATTCTGCTGCGTGTAAAGGCCTTCTGAACCTTATTTTTATACATGAAATCTGAGTTTTTTACACAGTTGCTTCTGTTTTGTAGCTGATTCTTTAACATAAAACTGTAAATTGATGATGATAATGCATGAGTTGATA